TGACTTCAAGGGATGAATTTACCTTAATTAAATCTACAGCAACTTTTTGGTTTGGCTCCCAGAAGAGTACAGATTTGACACTGAGATGTTAGAATGGAAATTGCTTCAAAATAAACTTTCAGGGGCACCTGGGTGACTCAGCCGGTTAAGTGTCTCCCTTTGCTCAGGTTATGATCCCAGAGTCCTGGGATTGAGGCCCACGCAGGGCTCTCTGCTCAGCAGGGAGCCTGCTTCTCCCTCTACTCCTCCCCCTGCGTGTGTGCACTCCCTCTGTGTTAAATAAATAAATAAGAATCTTCATAAAGAAAGAAGAAGGAAAGAAAGAAAGAAGGAAAGAAAGAAAAAGAAAGGAAGGAAGGAAGGAAGAGAGAGAGAGAGAGAGAGAGAGAGAGAGAGAAAGAAAGAAAGAAAGAAAGAAAGAAAGAAAGAAAGAAAGAAAGAAAGAAAGAAAGAAAGAATTTAATGCCATCCAGGTAGAGTACCTGCCTCTCTGCCCCTTTTGGCTTGAAAGTGTCTTGATCATTATAAGGAAGTTCCTAAGCACATTCTCAACTAATCTAAGTCTCCTAAATGCTACTCGAAGTGTTTGGGGATATCTTTGGCAAGTCAACTATGCACATCAGTGACTCATCTTCATGTTTGGAATGTTAGTGCATTGCCACTTGAGATTCTATGCAGATGCAAAGCAGTGGAAATCAAGAGACAACAGACTGGGGGCTACTTGACAAAGTAAGGAAAACTGAATGAATTAGAAAAACCTCAGATGTGATTTGAGAAATTATCCTTGTTCAACGGTTCTTTTAAGGATTCTTGTACACTTTGCCAAAGATGTTCATGATCAAAAGCAGCAGTAGTTCTTGGTCATTATTGGGGATTAATCCTAAGTGTATGTTGTAAATTGCATTCCTTTACTTCAGCATATTTGATTCCCCTTTCAGTGGTAGGGATCTCCCTAAAGTCATTAAAGTATTAAATAGCAGCCTGTCTCTAAAACAAAATGCAAACAATGCCCCTTGAATCTTCTAAGGTTTTTGTTTTGTTTTGTTTTTTTAATTTTTATTTATTTATGATAGTCACAGAGAGAGAAAGAGAGAGAGGCAGAGACACAGGCAGAGGGAGAAGCAGGCTCCACGCACCAGGAGCCCGATGTGGGATTCGATCCCGGGTCTCCAGGATCGCGCCCTGGGCCAAAGGCAGGCGCCAAACCGCTGCGCCACCCAGGGATCCCCTAAGGTTTTTGTTTTGTTTTGTTTTTTACCTAAGCCTAATGTGGGGCTTGAACTAACCACCTTGAGACCAAGAGTTGCATGCTCTACAGATCCAACTAGCCAGGCACCCCATGTAACTGAAGTTTCTTTATTTCTGCTGGTTGCCTTCCCTTATTTTTCCTGAGTGGCTGTGAATAGCAACAGCAAGAATACTGCTGTTTATGTGTTATGATTTCTATTTAAGATTTGTTTTCTTGACTAATGTGGGCCTCTTAAGATATTATGGGAAAGAAGTGAAGCTCATTGAAACTTTCATTGCTCTCATCAGCATCCCATCTTGCTAATTTTATTGGATGAATATGATAAAGCCATGAATTGTTCATAGAAGACAAAAAAAAAAAAAGACTCGGGCGGTCTTCTCTCCATATATGCCTTTTACAAAATCTTTTCTTGTATTTTTTTTCTTATTTTAAGTAGGCTCCATGCCCAACACAGGGCTTGAACTCATGACCTTGAAATCAAGAGTAGAACGCTTTGCCGACTTAGCCAGTCGGCCGTCCCCATATATGCCTTTTTTCACATGAATTCCACAAGCTGGCTACATTCTTCCCCTTATTTATCCTAAGTTCTCGGTCTTTCTCTATATTAATATTGTACCCATTTTACTGTAATATTTTTTTAAAAAAACAGCTCGTGCAAGAAAGATGGCGAATTGCTCCCCTCACCCATTTGTTTTTCTTAAAACACTCAACAGAGGGGATCCCTGGGTGGCTCAGCGGTTTAGCGCCGCCTTCAGCCCAGGGCGTGGTCCCGGGGTCCCCGGATCGAGTCCCGCATCGGGCTCCCTGCCTGGAGCCTGCTTCTCCCTCTGCCTGTGTCTCTGCCTCTCATGAATAAATAAACAAAATCTGTAAAAACAAAAACACTCAACAGACCCAAGAACCTCTTGAGCCTTGGTCTGAACTTGATTTCAAGAGGCCCACGACCCCCGCGAGCTTTCCCCGCGGGGCCCCAGCAAGCCGGCAGCTGGGGCGGGACTCGTGCTTTTCGGGTCGGCTCCCGGGGCGGAGGCGCGCGGGCTGCAACGGGCTGCAACGGGCTGCGACGCCTTCTTCCCAGAGCGCGCGCGCCCCCTGGCGTCGGAGCGCCGGGAGGCCGCCGGAGGCCGCCGGAGGGCGCGGGAGGGCGCGGGAGGGCGCGGGAGGGCGCGGGAGGGCGCGGGAGGGCCCGGGAGCCGGGAGCCGGGAGCGGGGCGGGAGTGGTCCGTCCGGGCTGCAGAGCCGGAGGCCCCGGGAGCCGCGAGGTCATCCCATCAAGGATCCAGCAGGGCGTCCCAGCGCCGACCTCCCGACGCCTCCCCGGGCGGCACGGCCCACCTTCGCCTCGGGTTTGCTCCGGGGGCGGGTCTCGGCGTCGCCCGCGCGGTGGCCTCGCCTGCCAACGGGGGCCCTCCTCGCCCGCCCCCTCCCCGAGCCGGGAGACTGGCGAGCAGCCGAGCGCCCCTGCTCGCCCTGGAGGTGCCCGGCGCGGGCCAGCGGCGGGCGTCCGTGCAAGGGGGCTGGACTTGTAATCGCTTGCAGCGGGACAATGCTGACTTTTGAACCTCTAACCACTAAGCAAACAACCCTTGTGCTCTTGCTCCACTGTCCAAACAGGGTTTATTGACAGGCGTTTCACAGCAACGCATAGCAACGGCGGCGGCGGCCCGGGGCGGGCGTGTGGGCGCGGCCGGGTGCGGGTCCGCGCTCCCCTCCCTCCCCGCGGCCGGACGCGCCGGGGGGCACGGAGCCGGGCGGGTGGGGGGCTGGTAAGCGGGCCCGGAACGCCGCCCCGGCTCGGCGGACCCCCCAACCCCGGAGGCGGCCCAGGCAGGCACTCGCCGTGCGTCCGCGAGTCCGCCACCAGAGCCCCCTTCTCAATCCCGGCGCCGCCTGCCACCAGGAGGGACCGCGGAACCGGGGGGATGCTGCAGGCGGTGTTCGGTCTCGCTGCTCTGCCCTGCCTCCCCAACCCTCGGGCCACCTCCTGCCTCTGCTGGGGCCGTGATTAGAGCTCGAAGATCCTCGTGGGAAGACCGAAACGGCGCGCAAAGCCCTTCTCCCCAGGCCCCGCCGGCCCAGAGCGCCCGCAGGGCGGCTTCCAGGTCCCCAAACCTCCAGGGCAGCGGCCCGGTGCCCAGCGGATCGGCCAGACAACAAGCTACCGCTATTGAGAGGGTCTCCTTGTACTGGCTCTTGAATTCTTTGGGGTGGGGGGGAGGAGGCAGTGGTGAGCAAGGGAGAGAATTTTCCGACACAGAGCAAGGAGTGGAGACAGAGAAGGGCTCACGGAAATGCCCAGTGATTCACTGAAGACTATATTCATGGAAATGTTGCCTTGGGAGAACAGAAAATAAAACATTTTCCTTAATGCTCATGTTTAACTAGCTGGATTGTGGGGCATCCCTAGGGTGAAGGAAATCGTTGAGGAAGGGGATGCCTGCATCAGCCTCAGCGTGGATTGGATGAGATGCTATGAGGGGACTCTCACCCCAACCCCCCATAATTTCCCCGGGCAGCTGTAAAGCAGCTGACCCTGCAGATGTGCATTTTGCCCAAAGGCACCCCCAGGAGAACCACACATTCCACAATCCAAGGTTGGGCTCAGGCTTGGGGGCAGGGAAGGTCTCAGAACCTGCTCCCTCAGGCCTCTGACGCTCTGGGGTAAAATGAGGTTGTCCAGATAACCTTCTCCATGCCCTCCCTGATTTTTCTAATACTAGCTTGCAAGTAGACAAGATACTTCATTTCTTAAAAAAAAATAATTTCGGATAAATATCTGAAATCTGGAAAGCTCATTTATCCCCTTTTTTCTTTTTAGAAAAAAATTCAGCCGTGCTCAAATAACCCCCACTTCCCTTCACCATATCACTTCTCTCCCCATGGATCCAGAAGGCTTTTTAAAGGCTGGGTTGGATGTTACACAACCCAAACAGCAGCAACAACAACAAAAACTCCCCTTCTTCATCAGCCCCAAGATTGTGAAAATGACAGGAAGTCCAGGTTGGCTCTGGCATTTATAGCACTGACATACATTCAACCCAGAGAAGCTCTGGTGACAGGCTTTCTAAACAAGGCCCTGTCCTGGGCCCTCTGGTCAGGCCTGGAGTCCAGTAACCACGCCCCTCACACCATACACCGCACATACACCAGCCAAGCCTCTCCTGGTCTGGGAAGGGAAGAGAAGAAAGACAAAGACCTGGGGGTTCTTCAGTCTTTGGTGGGTCCAGGTATCTATCTTAGCTGCCTCTGACTTTTGTAGTTAAATCTTGCCTGCCCTTGCGGCAGGAGGAACCAGCTGACCCTTGAATGGCAGGCGGTAGGCAAGTAGCCACCTTGGCTTCAAGCACTGGGTTCCCCCTGAGTCCCTCTCTCCCCTCAGCTTCAACCAGAGATGCATCCTGCAGATTTGGAAGGCCAAGAGCTGGGGAGGAGGGGTACGAAGGCTTGGTCTGTTTAGCCAGTCCAGGCGATGCTTTTGCCAGTACTAAATGAAGCCCCAGTTGTCAGATCCCATCTCCTCGCTGGCAGAAAGTCCGGCCAGAAGAAGTAAAAATCTGGGAGAATGTCTTCCTTGAGGCCTCCAACCCCACTTGTCCTTGCTCCTGGCCCCCATGTTTTTCTCTGAGAGCTAGGTAAGTTGGTGTACATTTGTGGAGGGGAGGGAAGGGGGGTCTCTCCTGAGGATTCTAGCAGAGTCTGTGCTCCTCATGGCTCAGCCCAGAATCGCTCTGCTGCTGCAGGCCACTGTAGGTCATTGGGTGACAGTAGGGTTTAACACCCCCGCCGCTGGCCCCAGAACCCCGGGGACAGAGCCAGGCACCGAGCCCTGCAGGGCGGACACGGGACTCAGGGACTCCGGGACGCTTCTCAGAGGACCCGGCTGGGGCTGGGGAGGCTGCGGTGCAGGCGGTGGGGCTTGCGGGGGCGGCTGCTGTTGCTGCTGCTGCTGCAACTTCTTCTTGTTGATTTTCCTTTCCTTGGCTCTGCGGTTCTGAAACCAAATTTTAACCTAGAAATGGAAAGGGGGGGAGGAAGAGACGGTGGTGAAGAAGCTGGTGTAGGGAGGATGGCCTTCTGCACTAGCAGCAGTTCTTCCCTCTCCAACTATAGAAGTGCCTTCTCTATCTCAGGCACCCCCACACCTTCTCCCAGCCTTTCAGCTGAGAGCCCCATGACAACTCAGTGCCAGAGCCCTTCCGGAGCCCAGCACAGCCTCAGGAGAGAAAAGCCTTCTTCCCTCCTTGTTCTCACCAGGTTGCGTTACAAAGCAACCTTTATCTATAACCTTACTGGGAGAGTTCAGCGTCTCAGAACTAAGGAAAACAAACTGCAAAGCCCTTTCTACAACAAGCGAGAGAAGGCCAGCATGGATGTACTTCAAAATGACAACCTTTGACCTCTCAAAACTTAACTGAAATGTAATATTCCTCACTTTAAAGCTGAGAATGAGATCTTTTAAAAAGATGTAACCATTTATTTGAGAGAGAGAGAGAACACAAGGAGGGAGGGGAGGAGCAGAGGGAGAGGGAGAAGGAGAGAGGAGCTCAAGCAGATTCTGCACAGAGCGTGGAGCCCCGCACAGGGCTCATTCCCACAACCCTGATCTCACAACCTGAGCTGAAACTAAGAGCCAGATGCTTAACCGACTGTGTCACCCAGGCACCCCATGAGAATGAGATTTAACATGGGGCTTCCCAGCGGTGGATTTGGCCTATTTTCCTTTTTTCTTTTTTTTTTAATTTTTATTTATTTATGATAGTCACACACAAAGAGAGAAAGAGAGAGAGGCAGAGAGAGAAGCAGGCTCCATGCACCGGGAGCCCGATGTGGGATTCGATCCCGGGTCTCCAGGATTGCGCACTGGGCCAAAGGCAGGTGCTAAACCGCTGTGCCACCCAGGGATTCCTGTTTTCCTTTTTTTCTAAACCATATAGAGTGTTCCTGAGTCAAGCCTCCCTCTAGTATTTATGGGCAGGGATTGGACTCTTATATTAATTTTCCCCCCAGGTATTTTGCTGGGCACAAAGAAAATAAGTCTTTTAAGTCTTCTATCACCCCAATAGAATTCCAGATTAGACTACTACTCAGTTTTTTTTCTTGCGTTTCCCCCTGGAAAATAGGAGAGGAAAAAAATCCAAAAAAGACAACTAGAAGCGGAAGGAGCCTTTTCTAAAAGCATTCAGAAGGAAATGTTCTCCATCCTCCTGCTTTATTTATTTATTTACTTACTTACTTACTTACTTACTTATTTTAAGCAAGCCCTACACCTAAGTAGGGCTTGAACTCAACAACTGTGAGATCAAAAGTCACATGCTCTATCTACTGAGCCAGCCGGGCGCCCCTCTAGCCTCCTTTAATCTGCTCACAGAACTAGGTGGATTCTGGGGTCCGGCTTCTAACTCTGCGCGAGGAACACCCCCACCCGCCCGCAGCCAGTGATCGCGCCCTGGAGGGAGCAAGGCGGTTCCCACCTGCCTCTCGGAGAGCCCCAAGGTGGCGGCCAGCTCAGCTTTCCTCCGGATGGTGATGTAACGACTGTAGTGAAACTCCTTCTCTAGCTCCAGCCGCTGGTGATCCGTGTACACCACTCGGTATTTGTCTTTCGTCCTGGTTTTCACTGCGGAGGAAGGAGAAGTTAGGGCTGAGAACTGCAAGGCGGCCCATCAGTCATGGGTAATGACAAACCTACCTAACCCCAGGGCCATTTCTCTTCCTCCGCCGCCCCAGGGGGCCAGGGTTTGGCTGGTTCCTGCCTAGTCTGACAAGACCCCCCAGGGGGTCCTGATGGCTGGGTGCAAGGCTATCCAAGACAACTACACTAACCTTAGGGTTAAGTGGTTTTTAAAAGTGAAGAAAAACTAAAATCTCAGATGCCTACGATAGCTGAACCCAGCCACCCTTTTGGTAAACCAAATATTGTCCTAGAGCAGGCAACTTCCAAAGGGAAGCGGGGCAGGACACAATCTCCGGCGTCCTGGGAATATTCGGGTTTTCAGGCCCACCAGAGATGGAAGCCCTCCCCAAGAACAGCTCAGGTCTTGGGTACACGTCCGGCACAATGTGTGGGGTGGCGGCGCTACTTTCTGTTTGCTTTATTACAAGTGGAAAGGCAGGTGCAGGAGCTGATAGATTCTCTGGGGTCACCAGAATCTTTTCCCAGGCCCATGAGGCCCAACTGATGGAATTCTGAGCCGGGGTCTGGCAGGCAGAGAGCCCCTCCCGCTGGCAGCACCGTCTACCTGGCAGAGCCTGGTTTGGCATTTGTCACTTTTTCTTTCTTAATCCCCCATTTATTTCTGCTACAGACTGTGCCAGAGCTATCCTGACCAGTGATCTATGCTCATTGGATTGAGTCAACATATTAAACCTCAGGTTGATTGTTTTACTGAAGGGCCTTGACAAATAGTGCCCGTCGCGCGGTTGGAGCAGGCCCGAGCCTGGCGTCTCCACCGGGTCTGCCCTGGGTCAACCCTCGGCTGGGCCCTGGCCAGGAGCTCTTCCCTCCTCGTGGGCCCCAGGTCCTGGTCTTCCTGCAGCCGAACAGGTTCAGTCGCCCAGTGCCCAGTCCTACAGGAAGATCTAAAGGGTCTGGGAGTCTCTTGGAGGTGTTTAATGCTCCGCAGGCCGACTTTGTTCAGGTAAAACCCTTTGCAAACCACAACAAAAGCGCCCTGGGAAGATACAGGCCGGATCAGAGGGAGCTCCCCCGAGCCGCTGAAAGGGGAACACAGTCGCAAACAATGCAGGACAAGGCGATCTTATCAAAGAAAAGCCCTTTCAATGCCTTAATAACCACCGCATTCTGTTTGAATTACCACTACTGAGCAAATGGCGGCCCCGGCTTTCATCCCCCTCCCCGCCAGGCGCATTAACATAAACACGGCCAGGCAGGCGCATTTGAATGGGCGCAGCGGCCCCGACCCCGAGCCTGGAAGCAGCTAAAGGGAACTAACACGTTCTGAGAGCTTTCCAGCTGGAGGGCGCGTTCACACGCGTCGCCGCCCAAGCCCACTCGGGGCTGCCAGCGGCAGTCGCCCCGTTTTACAGATAAGGAAACTGAGAATCAGACCAGGTCACGCAGGTAGCATCAGGCGCGGCCGACACCGCAGCCAGCTGGGAGCCTGAAGGACGCCCCCAAGGGCTGGGGAGCCGGGGCGCGAAAAGTTCTCCGCGCTGAACAGCCCAGTAGCAACGCTCGCCTTGGGGTGCCTGCGCGCGGCTCTGGCTCCAGCGCTCCCCTTGCAGAACCCCTGACCGGCCGGGAACGCGGTGACCCGGGCCCTTGCGCGCTCTGTGGCTTGCGCCCCAAGGGCCTTGGAGGCGCCCCGCACCCCCTGGGAACCGGGGAGGGGGCTGGAGGAGGGGAGAGATGAGAGGGACTTGTGAGAATTCATTATTGACTGCGAAAGTCACCACCCTCTTTCCGGGCCCTAAAAGAGACAATGGCAGGGCTGGGAAGGTGTATATCAAAGCGGGCCGGGCCCGGGACCAACCCCCTAGCCCCTTGACAGATGATGCTCCGCAGAGAAGTCGGGCTCTGGCCCGCGGGCCGCGGCCTCAAGACATTAACATCACAAGGGCGCCCGGCGCCGACTGCGGCCTTGCCACCTCCGCGCGGGACATCACAGCGGCCTCTCATCTGCTGACCCCGCGGCCTGGGCTCCTGTGGCTACCCCCCTCTCCCCCGCCCGGGCCCCGACACACCAAAGGTCTCCCTTAGGGCCCCCGATCGCTGCCAGTTGTACCCCCAGGCAGGCTCCCTATGAGGGAGCCCCTCCTGAGAAGGCGCTCTGCTCTGCTCAGACGGGAGCGCCTCCTCTTGGGGAAGGGACCTAGAAGAGGTTCCGAGGCTGGCCCCGTGGCCTTCTCCCTGGGCGGCGGCATTTCCCACCCGGCATGTGCCCAGTGACGCAAATACCGATGCCCAGAGACAGCCCCCAATGGCTTCTCTGATTTATATGGTTGTAATTGGCTATAAAAGTCTGAAAAGTGGCCATAACCTGCATGCGGGTCGGGCCGGGCCAGAAAGAAGGGAAGAGAAAAAAGCGGAAGTGCAGAGGGCTAGGAAGACTTTAAGGAGTGCAAAAGGGAGCCAGCAGGACTCTCCCACCACACGAATTCGCATTCGCACTTCCTTCCCACTTTGACACACACAACCCCATACCAGGAGGGGCAGACCCGGAACTAAGGAGCCCCCACAATCCGGCAAACCTAGGATGTCTGCAGCAGGGACATCTCCTGAGCAAGCTTCTTGAACGCAGCCGCGCGTGTACACACACACACACACACACACACACACCCCTGAGACCTGGGAAGGAGGAGTGGGGGAATGGGAGAAATGATCCCTGTCTGGAGCCCAAGCTGAATCCCCTTCCCTCTCCGCGGGGGACTCTCAGGACTTCTTGCCCGCAGCCCTCCAGCTTTTGACTCAACTAACTCCTTTGCAAATCCAAGGTTCAATGACGGGGCGCGCTCCCTTCTCCTTGGTTCCTGGGGCCTCTGCTGCAACTGCAGCTTGGCCCGGTCTCCCTGCTTGCCAGAGCTCTTGAGACCCCTTGAATTGGCCCGAATGGCCGAACCTGGCCCCACGCACAGCCACCCAGTCCTCCGGGCCACCAGGACTGGTGGCTGTGCCTTGGTGGCGTGGAGGGAAACGCTCTAAAGCCCCGCCCGGTGCAGAGCGAGGCTCCCTTTCGCCCGGGGCTCGAAGCTACGCCCCGAGCGCTGGCGGCAGCGACTGCGGAGGACGCGATCCCGCTCCTGCACAGCCGTGCTCGCCGACGACCCTGGGAGCGTCCCGAGAGTGCTGGGACCGTACGAATGGAGGACCGCTGGAAAGAGGAAGGCTCTCCTCTGCCCTACACTGAACACGGGTTGGGAGCCCAGAGTCCTCGCTCCCGCCCCGCGCCAACCCAAGCGCCGCAGAGAAGCCCCGCAGGCGAGGCCGGCCGAGTGCGTCTCCGCCCGGCGGGGCTCCCTGCCAGCTCCGGACGCCTGCGTCCGCCCCGACGCGCGGCGGGCCCCGCAGCCCCCGAGCCCCCGCAGCCCCGCAGCCCCCGAGCCCCCGAGCCCCCGCAGCCTCCGAGCCCCCGCAGCCCCGCAGCCCCCGCAGCCCCCGAGCCCCCGCAGCCTCCGAGCCCCCGCAGCCCCCGAGCCCCCGAGCCCCGCAGCCCCCGCAGCCCCCAGCCCCGCAGCCCCCGAGCCCCGCAGCCCCCGAGCCCCCGCCGCCGCCTACCTTGGCTCCCGAGGGACGGCTGCGCGGGCTTCCGCATCCACTCGCACAGGTTCCGCCGCTGGCCGCCGGGGGACAGCTGCTCTGCGGCGGCCGTGGCTGCGGGCCCCGGAGGGCCGGGGTTCAGGGTCTGCAGCAAGCCGGTGGCGCAGGAGGGCGCGGCGGCCGGGTGGTGCGGGTGGTGGTGCGGGTGGTGGTGCGGGTGGTAGTCGGCGGGGCTGCTGTAGCCCATGGCTGAGGCCGGCGAGCCCCCGTTGAGGCCGTGCGCCACGGCGGTGGCTGCGGCCGCGGCGCCCCCCGGCGCGTAGCCGTTCCAGTCCTCTCGCAGCGGAGCCCCGTAGGCGGCGGGCCAGGAGGGCCCCGGGGACTGCGCGCTGTCCAGGTTGGCGGCCGCCGCGGCCGCAGCCGCCACATGGTAGCCGCCGTAGTCCGGGTACTGCGGGGGGCTGACGAAGTTCTGCGGGGCCAGGTTGAGGCCGCCCGAGTGGCGCACGGAGCTGGGGTACATGCTCACGTCCTTGTCCAGGAGGTAGCTCACGTACATGGTGGCGAGGGCCCCACAGCAAACCTCACCATGCTGCCTGGGGGCCGACGCTGGAGGCTGCCGGGAGGCCGCGGAGGGGAAGGGGCGACGGGGCGCGGCGAGCGGCGGCAGCGGGCGCCCCGGCCAGCGGAGTCCCGCGGGCTCCTCGCGGCGCCTGAGCCTCTGAGGCGGTCCCTCCCTCGGGCCGGCCTCCTCCCTCCTCCCCTTCTTCCTCCTTTTCTCCCACCTCCTTCCCACTGGGCTGCAGAGGCGGGGAAGACCCGCCACAAGCTGGAGCGCGGAGCCCCGGGCCGGCGGCCTTTCGTGATTAACGAGTGTTTACAAGACTCTATTAGTAATGACACAGACACCAATGGCTGGAGACGTCGAGGCGCAGCGCGCACCCAGCGCACAACCCCCCGAAACACGATTTGCATTTTAAAAGATAAGGAGAGGGGGGAGCACGCGGGACCCGATCACAGCTAAATATTCAGACCTTTATTGTTAAGAGCTTCCTCCTTCCAACCTGGTGCACTTTAACCTCCAATCACAGGTTCAAAGAATGAAATCAAGAGACTTGCAAAAGAGGGGGTGGGGGGAAAGACCTATCCTGATGGGAATCTGGGCTTGGAGACTAAATAATAGTGTTTATGCACTTGCGGGGTCGGGTGGTGGGCATCAAGAAGCTCCTTCTATACCAAAGAGAACAGAAAGGGGAAGCCATTACTTTGATGACAACGTTTTGACCAACGGGGGAGATGACCGGCGGAACCCTAAGAGATGGGCCCGGTTCCTGCCCTGTCTGAGCTCTCGGCCAGAACGACTGCGACTGCGACTGCGGGGCCCCAAACAACTGTCACTGCTAATCGGATTTTTTCTTCCCCCAAGGAAACCTCTTGCCTCTCCCACGAGATGAATTATGACCCTAGCTTCAGGTTGCATCTCAGAGTTCATCTCACATTTGGGGTTTCAGTTAAATTAAAGCAATTAATGTTTCAAAGAGCGTTTGCATTCAAGAGTCAGCACAGTCAAACCAAGGTGCTGGCAAAGTTCTCATCTCTTGAGCAGGGTGCAGGTGACACAGTATGTTGTCTGCAAAAATTCAGTGAGCCTACACGAAGAGGTTTACTTAAATGAGTGGTTAAAAATTAAGGAAAAGAGAGCCAGAGTTTCTGATAATATGTACGTAGGTACATGTCATAACTTTGTCTTAAAAACACTTTCTGCTTTACAAAGCAAAGCTTTATCCGAAGAAAATTGTCTTTCATCTCCAGGAGAGGGGAAGGGAACCTAGGCCATTACCGATTGCTTCTTGAGAGCTCCAAATGGGGAAGAGTTGGGAAAGGATCTTCCTTGGTTTTAATGCACTGTGTCGGGGGCACGGGGCTTGGTGGCGGCTGCTGGGACCTGTGTGGCAGGGCCTGGCTTGTGAACTGCCCCAACTGGAGCTCAAGGCGCCGCGAGCTTCGTCTTAGGCACGCGCCTCTGTTTTAGCCACTGCAGGCAGCAGACCCACGGGAGCCTTCCAACCCTTCTCTACTTACGAGCCTGGACTGTGCTGACGGACAAGGATTTGAGACTCGCAGCGGCCCGATCCACGGACTGGGCAAGATGCCTGCGTGTTTTTGAAGGTGCTCTTGGAACCAGCGGGACGCTAGCCACTCATCTCCAGATCTGCACTTGTCGGTTCTCATTGTCAAGCGCTCTCTGGTATTTGTCACTTCACCTTCTCATCTCTGGAGAGCTCCTTCCAGTGCCCTTTATCTGCCTTGATCCTCACATCTCCCTAGATGGGGAACAAAGCTGGTGTTGTCATCTCCATTTTACAGATGACACCCACCAAAGCTGCATAGTGGAAAAGGCCAGGCCCAAGTAAGATCTGAACTAACCCAGGGGTGTGGGATCTCCTGCTTGCTGGTCTCCCAAGAAAGAGGGTTAAAAATCAGGGGTGGGGGTGGGGGAATGTCAGAGAGCTGAGCACTAAAGAGGTGGGAGACAGGAGCAGGTCCTCCATTGATCTACTGGCCTGGCCCAGACAGCTGCGTGTCATTGGACCTCTCAGGAAATAAAATAGGAAATAAATTGCAAGCCCCATTACAGAACCCAAATCACTGAGTTGGGGGAGAGGGAGAGAAAGTGGGAGTCTGCAGTCCTGATGGGGTGGGAATGTGGGAGGTTAAGTGGTGGGCACTGCAGACTTTTGATCTACCAAATATCTTCCTCCTCTTCCTGGAGACACAATTCCTCTTTCTGTCCCCCCATTCCCAGCCCCCTCCCAAGCCTTGAGCTCTGGAAGCCGAGGCCCAGGCTCAAGCCTGTGTCTTCGGAATGTGGGCATTCTTTGGAACAATCACTTTATTGGGGACAGCCATTCCCTCCGCCCTGCAGTGGCCGCTTCCTGCGTTTTTATGGCTCGGCCGCGGGCCGCTGACTAATTGTCCCGGTTTTCCAGCTGTGTCTCTGTGCTCTGCCCCTGAGAAAGGGCTCTGGTCTGCCCGCCCAAATGCTTTGGGAGCGACCAGGGTTGCTCTGGCCCCAGGGGTCATGCCAGACTCCAGAGCTGGCTGGACCACAGGTAAACCTGAGGCTCAATTGGGGTGCAAGAGCTGGAAAAAAGGAAATCATGGTGAAAAAACAATTGGTTTTCTTCATGGAAAATGGGCCTACATGGCAGTAACAAGTACACCACCCCCTCCTAGGTCCTGGGTCTGGCTATTTGGTGAGAGAAAGGGAGCCTATACTGATTTCTTTGAACAAGCTCCTCAGATTGGGAGTGTCCCTTCACATCCAGTTGCCCTTCATCCAAGAGGCCCATCTAGGTCCCCAAAGGGCAGGGTGGCAGGAGCAGAGAGTAGCAGAAGGTGGCTGATGAGAAAGAAGCTTGAGTGTCTTTTCATCGTGATGATGGCTTAGGCTCTGGCAGGTCTTTGTCAGGTGCCTATCCTCTGGAGGCCTGCTCTGGATGGGACCCCATCAGCCTTTGGGTGTAAATGTGTGGCAGGTGCCACCTGCATCAGAGCCTCAGGGGTGAGTTTTCTCAGTACCAGACCCAAGGTACTTGGTGGCTTTCTTAGAACTTTTGGCCTGGGCTGAGAACCGCCTGGGATGGTCATCCCCAACCTCTCTGCTCAAGGCTCCTTTCTAGCCAGTACCTCTGGTCTCCAACCAGCTGCCCCACCAGAGAAGCCTTCAGCAAATCGCTCTGGAGGAGGCACAGTGGTGGAAAGCTTGGGGCTGGGGTTGAGCTGAGGCTGAATGTGACCCCATGGAGTCAGAGCTAAAGCAAGCTTTTAAGGGTAGGAGAGGGTGGGAAGAAAGAGAGCCAGGTAAATAAAGCATCAGGAAGACTACAGGGCAGCCACAACTCAGTTATCAAAGGGACGTCTCTTTGTTGCTAACGTTGTAAAGGCCATTCAACATTCCTCGGAGAGGGTCAGGGCTTCCAGAATTCCGGCAAGTGGCTAGGGCAGGGGCGCGGTGGGCAGGGCAAGGGGAGCAGCTTGAGGTGCAGGAAGGGGCGGATTGCTCCTCTAGGCAGATGGACACTCCTTGAATCTACAGATCATTGACAGGGCTCTCTCCCTGCTCAAAGGTCCCCAGTGTTTGCTCCAGCTTGGGGAACCCTCCTTTCCCCCATATTTGTGGCTCCTGAAAACTGGGGTGTCTGTGACTCTTATAACCCAGATAGGGCAGGCCATCTCTCTCCATCTTAGCTTGGAAGTCTACTTTCTGAATCCTGTTCAGATCAATGAAATTATCCAAATAGTGAAACACTTCTGTTCTCCCTCTCCTGTTCACAGGAAACCTCACCCTGCATTGACCTGGATTCCCGGGATAATTAAGGAAGAGTGAAAAAAAAGGGAATGTAGTTTGATAGTTGTTCAGCTTGGCAGTCTACCTCACCGTGGAGAAATGACTCGATCTCTACCTAATTTGGTGTTTAGGGAATTGTTCAGGTATCGCACACAATCAGCAACAGCCATGCACAAAGAAAAAGGTTCAATAACGGGTGCCACACGGCCCACTCAGCTAACATCTCCGGGAAGTAAATGGATGGCAGTGCCCTTTCTGTGGGGTCTTCCCAGAGTCCATCGCCTGCTCAGCCCCATCAGGCCACAGTGGATCCCAACATGTTCATTCTGAACAGCGAGAGGGCCGCAGCTGTCCACAGCTGCCCTGGCTTCACTTACGGGAGCAGATGTGTCCCTACCCCCATTGGACTCAAGAATATTTCCCTGGCAGCCAACTGAGTGTCTGGTCTTCTCTATCTGAGGAAAAGTTCCCGAGTTTGTGGGAAGTCATTATTGGAGTACAGTTTTAGCACTCAAGGGGAGAGGGTGCAGGAGAGTGGGGAAATCCACTGCTTTATTCCTCTCATGTTGGGATCACCATGCTTTCTTATCCAAGGCAAGGAATTTACATTTTATACTATGCTTTTCTCTCCAAAATATATTCGTAAAGCCAGGAGATTTAAGAAAAGAAAGGGCCTCAAGAGAGGGGGTGATATTTGGGTACAGAAATCTGTTTTACTCCTTGGGTGAATGTTACGCAAATAAGTGGCAGTGGCCTGTTTTCTTTCTTCTGAAATTAGTCTGAGGTCAACAGTGTAGGTATTGTATAACCCGCTCTAATTCCTCGAGATGGATGAGCACTGATCCCCTTGAGAGAAGGCCTTGGGGTCTCACCCTGGAGGAGAACTCTTGATGCTGAGGAGAATCGGGCTCTCGGGCCAGCAACAGCTAAACATTATCACTTGCTCTTGACGTGGAAGGGCCTTCAGTTACCATTTGTTCACTCACCAACGTCTGTGTCTGAAGTGACCTTTGCTTATCATATGAAAATATGTTCCAAGGAAGCCCTACACAGTAGGCTTTATGAGGCTGAGGGAAGGGGCTCAGATAAAGTTCAGTTCTCCTTGAATCACTGGGCCCACTGGGAAGCTTCTCTCCCTGGAGGGGAGTCAGGGGACTTACTGTCTATGTAGCACTTCCACTTTATAGTGGAGAAATCCGAGGTTCAGAGAGGTCAGGTGACTTTCCCAAGGTCACACAGCTAGCTGTTCCAGTCACTAAAACTAAATGAGCTACTATAGGTGCATTCTTTGCAACCTGTAGGACTCTGTACAGATGTTAATTATTACTGAGGCTGCTGGTGCCACCCTGGAAACACAAAACCAACTAGTTGGTTCCCGGAATCCAAACTCCCCATTCCCCTCCTCCTCACCCCCCTAAATAGTACCAGAACAATCAGGTTCTGTTATTGCCACAGTTCTGACTACTTTCCGCATCCTATTTATTTCTCTTTTTCGCAGACACCTGCCAACTGCTGTTTATTAGTTTATTGAATGGTGAATTTTCCATAAATTCCATCCCATATTTTTTGCCAGTTACCAAAGAAGGTATCCATCCACTCCTGTCCTCCAGTAAATACTTTTTGAAAAGAGCTATTTTTGAATTGGAACTGATATCCTAAGGCTGATCCCTGGAAATGTGTGAAATTTAAGATGAGTAAAGAAATTTATGTAAAGAAATTGTGTTGTCTTTGCCCCCCTTCCCTTACTTCCCAGGACAGTGTCCGTGTACATGTTTTGGACACCTAGACCAAAAAAGCTGGCTTCTTTGGGCAAATAAAAGGAGCCCCCCCCCCCCATTCAGCTTCTTGATTACACACATGAATACCAAGCTCGGATTGGGCTCATGAATTCCTAGCGGGAGCGCTCTCGGGTCTTTTTTGCTCCGAGCACCAGCTGGGTTGGGCTTGGCCGTATTAGGAGGGAAGTGAAATGTGGCGAGAGAGTCCCCCCCCACACCTGGGAAGCAGGTGTGCTTGGAAGGGCTGAAGGGCTAGGGAAACTGAATTCAGCTCCCGTCTTTCCACTATTTTTAGTATTGCTATTGTGGGCTGTGTGTGTGTGTGTGTTTTAACGAATTAGTATGTAAAGTATTAAATTATCCACCTTAGAATCCGTGCCAACCACTTCTGGGACCCCAGACACTCGCGGGGCACGCTTGGGCCACCACGCCGCCTTGGCTGGTGCACACAGAGGACCCAGACTGTCGCCGCCCGTCTCCGCGGTCCAGGTTTGTCTCCCGCATGCGGCGCACCGGAGCGCGGAAAGGAGAAACATCTCTGCCAGGCCAAGGCCAGCAGGAGCCCAGGGCGCGTTGCTGTGTGAGCCAAGATGTGGCCACAGAAAACTGCCCTCCCAGTGCTTGGCAGCCACAGGTGACCCTCCCGCGAAAGAACTGCCTCTGCCTCTTTGCTCCTCCTGGAGAAAAAAGTAGGAGCTGCCAGTGGTTTTTGCCAGGGCCTCTAGCCAGCCCGGCGCCCAGAACCCGCGTCCTGCGCCTGCCCGCGAGGCTACAAGAACTCAGGAGCCTTGGGAAGAGGCACCGCTCGGCCAGTTCTTCCTCCCCTTCCACCTCCCAGCTCCTGCGAGGGGGCGGATCCAGCGCCTTCCCCCACCGTACCTCCTCCTGCAGAAATAAACAATTTTGGACAAGCTTTGAAATATAACTGTGACTGAGGACACCCAGGTCGTGCCTGAGAGGTCCAGATCTCCTGTACGCTCAGTCTAAAATTACAGCTGGAAGCCTTCCCTGGGAAAGCCTGGCTATCTTAGGTTGAGCACATTTACACGGAGGGTCCAGACTCTGCAATGGGGGCTCATCTAGCTCAACTGGACTCATCCTAGGGTTGGACAGGGTCGCTTGAATATAGTAGATCAATGTGAGTCTCAGGCCAGTCCGTGGCACTTGTATCCTGGGCCAGAAAACTGAGCCAAGCAGCGGATTTCTCATGTGTGTCAGTAAAAGCCCCGAGTTACCCTGGCCAAAGTGAAGGGGGGAGTGTCTAGTCCCAGGCCTGATGAGGCCCACCCTGGCCTTGGGGTCTTAGAGCACACGAACTGAGTCTTCAATGTGCCTGTGTAGTGTGCACCTGGTCTTCTTGCATCCCGAGAAAGCATCTGGCACAGGTCCAGGCAGAGGAGGCCCTGGCATTAGTCTACAGGGATGTTGGTAGCCACAGCTCACTTCCCTGGCACTCCACCTGGCCCCATCACCCGCTCCTGGCCTTCTCCCTTACCACTAGCACAGAATGCCTGTGAGGTGGGAATGGGATGGAGATTCCTTGATTGAAATACCTGGTGTGGCCAGAGTGTGAATCCAGCCTCCAACCCAAGGCATGCTTTTTAGGAAAACAAGGTTTTCTTGCTGCTTGTTGCTGCTGCTACTCTGGACCTGGGTTGGTCACTAATAGAGATTCCAATCTTCAAAATGGCCAGATTCTGCCTTCACCTCTTCCTGTTTGTATCTAGGAGGATGAGTGTGGCTTGTTTCTCCTCTGCCACCAGAAACTTAAGTAGGATCCTTTAGGACCTGAACGATAGACCTTCCAGCGTGGGGGGATGACAGAGAGTGTGTGTGATGAACTCCTTCTGCATGAGTGGGCATTCTGGCCCTCAGTGCAGACAGCTCTGGAACCCCAGAATGGCCTTAGGCCAGAAGGATTTCAATGTGCGCCATTTCCCCCTATTACCTGCTTTATCAGCGAGGTGGAAGGTGGTTCTCATCTTCACCTGGGGAGGCCAGGATACCCAGCAGTACTCAGTGAGTATTATTAAATTATTATTTATTCCATTTTTAACTTTTTAATGATCTAATTCCCCCCCCCCCCCCCCCCGGGGAGTACAGCCTGGAGTTCTGTCAATCCAACTCTAAAGGCCCGGTCTCTGGGAGAGTCCCAAGGTGAGGGGCGACCTGTGGGAGGGTCCCAGAGGCCGCCGGCTCCCGACTTTCAGGCTCGTCCACCTTGGAGACACCCCCATTCCCTACCCTCTCTCAAGGGCGACTAAGGCAGCTACTCCGCCTGCCCCCACGGCCGCCTCCCCAAAGTTGGCCCATCTCGAGGCTCCCTCCCGCCCAGCGACCCCCACCCGCGGCTTCCCCGCCTGGGGAGGATCCAAACCAGTACTTTGCTTTTCTCGCTCCGGCTCCGGCTCCCGTAGGCGCCCCAGAATGAGAAAACTACGTCTGCTCACATGTAAAGGTCGGACACAGCAAATGAGGTGGGAGAAGAAAAAACAGACAAACCGCAGTGGCATAAAAAGATTCCTTTTCTGAAAAGAAAAAAAAAAAAGATTCTTTTTTCTGGCTTTTTTTTTTTTTTTTTTTTTTTTTGCTTTGCAGCCGGGGCTTAGCAGGAGAGGATGCGGAGCCAGAGAGGCGAGCTGGATGCGGGCTTTGGAATCCACAAAGGCTGGTGGCGTCAACGGGCTGCAAAAGGAGTGAAGAATTGAAGCTGGATAAACCGGGGGCAAACACGAACCTGTATATTTTGGCAAAGCGTGTGCACGTGGGTGGATGGACAAAAGGGCACGATGGCCCCGGTCCTCCCCTCCCTCTGTGCGCGTGGGGACGCCGTTCCGGGCCTGCGCCCCTCGCGTCCCAGCGCGTCCCGACCGGCGCCGGGTGCCGCGCCCGCGCGGCCGCTACAGTCCGGCAGGGTGGGCGCCCAGGAGGTCGGCGAGTCGCAGGTGGCCGATCTTCTTCACCTCGGCCAGGGCGGTGCGCAGCTCCTGCGCGGGCGGACAGCGCAGCCTGCGCGCCAGCTCGCGGGGCACGGCCGCCCGGTCGCTCCGCCGCGCGGCGAGCACGAAGGGGAAGCCGAAGCGCGCGCGGTACTGCGCGTTGAGCTCCGCCAGCCGGAGCCGCTCGTCCGCGTCCAGGCTGGTCAGGCCCGCGCCGCTCTGCTCCCGCCGAGACTCGGCGCTGAGCGTGCCCTGCTGCAGCTCGCGGCCCGCCAGGTCCGGGTGGCAGCGCAGGATGCCCTCTCGGCCTGCGGGGAAGCACAGACGGCGGCGGGACTCGTCAGCGCGCCCGGGGAGGGCGCAGGGCCGCGTGCCCTCCCGCCCCGCCCGGCGGGCGGCTCCAGGGGGCGACGAGGGGTACCCTGGAGGTGCAGGGGTGCCCACTGCCATCGCCCCTCCGGCCCAGCTTCAGCGGCCTCGGCCTGGACCCAGGGGCGGGGCGGGAAGTGACAAGTTTGTCCTTTGAGACCTTGGGGCAAGAAGAGCGGAGGGGAGAGGCCGCTGGGCCTCGGAATTTACGACTTGCTCGGGAGGGAGCAGGGACGCGATAAGGAGACCGAGCGTTTCGTATCTTTTCAAAGTCCTTTGCTCTCAAGGGGGCTTTGATGTCGGAGAGGGCCGGACGCGAGGGCCTGAAGACTTCCTGCAAAAGCCACGGAATGGGTTTCGTTCTGTTCCGTAGGAGAGGGGCGGGGAGGGGCGGGGGGGGGGGGAGAGAGAACATCCACGGGGCTTGCCAAATAAATGTCCAGGATTTTGTGATCCTAAGTGTGAGTTTTGCGCTTCTGGAATCAAGCATCCGAAGAGCCGTCCAGATGATTAACTGCAGGAATTCCACAGCCCTTTAAAGGAAAGTGGCTTTCCTCCTTTTAGGAAAGTAGCACCCACTCACCACCCACCCTGTCTGAGATTCATTCCCCTGCTCCAACAAGTAGGTTCCAAAGACATCACAGAGAATAACTTGGAGTTTTCCTGGAAGGTAACCTCTCAATCTCCCAGGCCTAAAATTGGAACCCCCTGGTGTGATACCTGAGATTTTAAATCCTAACCCAAGGAGTTTCCCTGAGCCCTGGCCAACCATTTTGCTTAGCTCTCTGAAGAGAGAATTCGAATCCTCAAGACTGGGCAAGATTTCAGATATGGTAAGCAGACTGCGGTAATCTGTACAATGAGGGTAATGACACCTGACTTGCTGAGTAGCTCCGAGGATTAGAGACAATTCATTTCCCTAAAACGCAGTGCCTAATGTCAGCAAACATCCAATAAACAGCCATTATTATTAGTCGTTGTAAACATTGGAACTGGACTGTGGTGCAGCTGGGAGCATCCGACTGTGGCCCTGGGAAGAGTCAGGAGCTCTGTTGGAAAGGGACATCATTTAAAATCTGCTTTAGTTATAACATAAACCTCCCAGCATTCAAACCTTGTAGTTTCTACCCAATTAAAGGATGTTGGGGATGGCACCATCTAATGCATAGACCGTGGCTGGGGGAGGGGGGTGAACAAGGAGGTAGGGTGGGCGAACATCTAAATTTAAGAGAGTTGGGGAGCCCCCGTGGCTCAGCGGTTTAGCACCACCTTCAGCCGGGGGTGCATCCTGGAGGCCAGGGATCGAGTCCCATATCGGCTCTCTGAGTGGAGGCTGCTTCTCCCTCTGCCTGTGTCTCTGCCTCTCTCTCCTTCCATGTCTCTCATGAATAAATAAATAAAATCTTAAAAAAAATAAATTTAAGAGAGCATTCAAGTGGGGCACCTGGCTGGCTCAGTGATTGAGCGCCTGCGGGTTCGGCTCAGGTCTGGATCCCAGGGTCCTGGGGTAGAGTCCCACATCAGGCTCCCTACAGGGAGCCTGCTTCTCCCTCTGCCTGTGTCTCTGCCTCTTTCTTTAGGTGTCTCTCATGCATAAGTAAATAAGTAAAATCTTTAAAAAAAAAAAAAGAGAGAGTGTTCAGTGAAGGTTTGGTTAGATTAGGTGACCTGCCCAAAGTCACTTAGCTTGTAGCTCAAATGACAGGCAACTTGGGGGAACTGGCTGCTCTTCCAGGATTAAGGAGTGCTTAGTTAAACGAAACTCGTGTCACCAATTCTTCCACCTGTGTAACACATTATTTTAGATCCCCTCTCATGTGCATGTCCCTGGGGCATTGGAAACATTGATTCTTTTCCTTCGGCTGGTCAGGGTGGGTGAAAATGAAGGTGCTGAATTCCCTACCTGCGCTCCCCTCCAACCCCTGGCCCTGGAGGCTGGCGGGCCCCGGGGCCCCTACCACACCAGATCTACTCCGCACCCATGCTCACAAGCCCTGGGCCTTCAAACAGCTGGCTGGGGAATGGGGAAACCGAGTCCTGGGCGACTCTACAGGTCAGGACAGAGGGCTCACCTTGGTGCCTTCTCCTTGCATATTCAGGTTTTCAAAGCGATCTGTAGGCAAGGGGGGCTGAGACCAGTCTTCTCAAAGACTCCCCCTTCTCTCAGCTTCCCTTCCCCCCTTGTTTCTTATTCTCTAGAGGCCCAGCTTGAGCTTGGGGGAAGTAGTAAGCTATTGGTGGGTGGCGCTGGGGGGGGGTGGGAGGGTGTCCATCCCCCTAGGGCCCCCAGCAGACTCCCCTAGTTGACTGCAGAGCAGGAAGGCGATGGTGCCCAGGGCTGGTCCCACATGTGCCAGACCTGCCTTGTTCCTCCTTGCTTTTGCACCTCACTTCTCACTCCCCTGGGTTCATCTCCCCTCTTGAAAACACCGCCTGGGGTTAATGTTTGCCCAGGATTGAGCCCTCATTTTACTCTGTTTGTGGGGAGGAGAGAAGGAAGAGGAGAGAAGGGAGGCCCAGAGAAGGGCAGAGCAAAGAAAAGAAGAAAACACACACACACACACACACACACACACACACACACAGCTACAGATAAAAAGAAAAGTGCAGGGAGCCTGTTACAGGATGGTGGCTCAGAAAAAATAGAACCTGATCCCACCTGGCTGGCCAAAAACGCCCTCTTTATTACCCCACACCACTGACCCCATGAGTATTACCAGGGGTGGCACTGAACCAGCCCCACTCGGGTACAGCGCTAGCTAGGTCAGTGGAGGGACCTGTGGTTCACAGGACCACTTCAATGCTGTCTATTCTTCAGTCTTTCCTAAAATCCTACTGCCTGTGCCATTGGTATGACACATGTAGGGATGTAGGCATAGATGCGTATTATTTGCTCTGACGACAAGTCATGAATCTTTGCATCCAGGAGAGTTCCTGGCACAGAGCTGACACTATCTCAACAGGAGAACAGGACAGACAACAGTGGCCACTGCAGAGTGGGTGATTGGCTTAGAACCCTATTACAGCCCACCAGCCTCTTCTTTTCTTTGCTCAGTAGGAACTAGTGTGTTCTCTCGCATGGCACAATGGATCATCTGTCTCTTCTCTTGTGCTCTTGAAGCCAGCCCCTTTTTTCATCTCAAGACTACAGTTTCAAGCATCCATTTCTCCCCCTACTCTCTGCACTCCTTTATCCTCATCAACACACAAACATGTCTTAGAATCACTCATCCCGTCGGCAAAATTAACACCCACTTTGATTCCCTCTTTCCTCTACTTTCCCCTTATAACTCTGCTCCTGCTTACAGCAAACTCCTCAAAGGAGTTGTCTACTTGGTGTTGCCTCCTTCCTCACCTCCTATTTCAGGTTTGCTCTATCAAGATTTCAGCCCCACCTACCACACCTGTGTGCACTCATCAAAGTCTGGATGATGGACATCAGATGTCTTGCCCAAGCCCAACGACCAGTGCTCTGTCGTCTTCTTCAACCTCTTGAGAGAATGTCACATGGTTCTTCCTCTCCCCCTCTTAAAAGATGACCATCACTCGCATCCTTTCTCCACTGTTTCTTGCTTTGCCAGATCACTAACACTGAAGTACCCCGGGGACTCAGTACTTACAACTCTTCCCTTCTCTATTTACACTGATGTCCAGATGTTCTCATTGGGTCCCATGTCTTTAAATGCCATCAGTTTTTTTTTTTTTGGGGGGGGGAGGTTGCTGGTTTTTAAAGATTTTATCTATTTATTTGATAGAGAGAGAAGGACAGAATGAGGGGGGAGGGGCAAACAGAGAGAGAGAGAGAGAGAGAGAAGCAGGCTCCCCGCTGAGCAGGGAGCCCTGATGCAGGAATGCCACCAGTTTTTTGCAGACACCAAGATCCAGTTCAGCCTACAGTTTTCCACTGAGTTCCTTTGTTATGGTCCATATGGACACCAATATTTTCATTTGGGTGATTACTAGGCACCTCAGACTTAACAAACTCCCATCTTGTCCTCTCAATTCTAAAGTTTTCCTCATTGTAGAAAATAGCACCACTACCCATCTAGTTACTCAGACTAAAAATTTAGGAGTTACCCTTAATTTTTCTTTGTTTTTGACCTCCCTTCCCCCCAAATCCATCCAAAAAACCTGTTGAGGGACTCCTAGGCGGTAGACTCTGTTAAGCCTCCAACTCTCAGGCTCATGAGATCCAGCCAGAAGTTAGGCTCTACACTCATCCAGGAGTGTGCTTGAGACTCTTTGCCTCTCTCTTTGCCCCTCCCCCACCTCTCTCTCAAAACTAAATAAATAAATCTCTTTTTTGAAATAAATAAATCTTTTTAAAAAATCTGTTGAATCTAACTCTAACATGTATTCTGAGGATCCAGTCGCATCTCTCCATCTCTCCTGCTCCAACCTTAGTCCAAATGAGCATCTGCCCTCACTATTACCACTACCACAGTCCCTCTACCTGACCTCTCTTTCCTTATATCTTTATATTTCACTATGCCCTGTGTACCGGGGCTTCCTAGTACAATTCCCAAATGCCAAAAATCTCAGGTTCCTTTTCTTAGATGGCTTTCTCCTAGATCTTAGACTGCTTCCTTCTCATCTTTTGGTTTTGAACGCAAATGTCACTTCCTAAGAAAGACCTCTTTGATTACATATTTTCTTCCAATAGTTTTTAGGACCTGAGATTATCCCATTTATTTATGTTAATCCTGTCTCTTTTGACTAGAATGTAAACTCATTGAAGGTAGGCATTTGTCTTGCTCTTTGCTCTATCCTCAATGCCTGCTACAATTCCTGGGGCATAGTGGACACTTGACCAACACGTTACTCTTAGGAAGGAGTGCTACGTGTTTTTTGATTGAACACATTTTAATAGCCTCTTCTAAATACCTTATAGTCCCCAGTTCGGGGAATTATTAGTATTTTTTAAATTTATTCAACAACTATGTTCTGAAACAAGTAGTTAAGTAGTAAATTATGACACTATCCAATTCTGAAATGTCACAAGGAAATGCATGGGTTGTTTTTGTTTTTGTTTTTCTCTTTGATTTTTATTTTATTATTATTTTTAAAAATATTTTATTTATTTATTCATGAGAGACACACAGAGAGAGGCAGAGACATAGGCAGAGGGAGAAGCAGGCTCCCTGCGGGGAGACCTATGCGGGACTCCATCCCAGGACCTTGGGATCATGGCATGAGCCCAAGGCAGACGCTCAACCACTGAGCCACCCACGTGCCCCTGCTCTTTGATTTTTAATACAAATCAGTACTGAATTGATTGATTATTGGCTGTGTGTGTGTGTGTGTCTTCCCTTTACTTTTGCTGTGTCCCTTGCCCGGAAGTCGGAAACCGATTGGGTCAAAAGGGTATTTTGCTGATTAGTGCTGGAGTTTAATATTAATCCTAGACTGCCACCTACTGACCAATAGTCATCATAGCGCAACAGAACTGGATTGTCACCCTTGGTTTATTCTAGAAACAAGATTCTGTTTTCTGCTAATGGTAGAGGGTTTTCTTAGATCACGTATAAAACAAATCCTTGATCAGGTAGGTCACTATCCTGAACTTTTCTTTAAGGTGTCTTTTAGTTTTAGAAATCAAAGACTTCATGACACCCAGTTTGTTCCCAACCATGCAAAGATTAAAACTAGACTATTCAGTGAATCTCATTTTATTTGCTCATTTAAACAACCAAACAGGGCAGCCCCGGTGGCTCAGCGGTTTAGCGCCACCTTCAGCCCAGGGCCTGATCCTGGAGACCTGGGATCAAGTCCCACATCCGGCTCCCTGCATGGAGCCTGCTTCTCCCTCTGCCCCTGTCTCTGCCTCTCTCTCTCTCTTTCTCATGAATAAATAAATAAAATCTTTAAAAATAAATAAACAACCAAACATAGGATCTGGGGCACCAGGCACTACATTAATTGAATAAATTAGTGAATGAATAGATGAAACCCCTAGAAACTGTTTCTAGACTGTTCTGATTCTCTAAAAATGTTTCAAAAGCTGTTGGGTTGACTACCAGAGTTTTGAATCCCAGTTCTGCCACTTTCAAGCTGTGTGCTCTTGATCAAGTCATTTAATCTTTCTGTGCCTCAGTTTTTCATCTGTAAAATAGGTATATTTGTTTTATAAGATTATTATAAGGATTAAATGATTTGTCAAATGTAAATTGCTGAAAAAAAGTGCCTGAAACACACCAGTAGTAACAGTTAAATACATGTCAGCTATTGCTATTATTAGTGGCATGTGTAACATCATCTTCATCATCATAGTTGTTGTGTTAGTTTGAAGGGATTAGATATAGTGTAACCACCCATACAGCACTGAAGCTTTGCTCCCAGCTGCCTGTCTAAGAGACTGTGGACAGAAAAGTAGGTTCCACCCATAGGGAGGTTCCTGTACAGAACAGTGTCTAGTGCAGAAGCAAACAACCCCTCAACTTTTTGTCCCACTAACCTGCCATTAAAGATACTCCAGGTAAAACATGTGGAGAATAGGTACTAGGCTCCATCATCTTTCAAAATCATTTTATGATCTCATCTTCTGAATCATTCAATTCTTATTAAGTCCTAGTATCCTATCTACTGAGTGATGTGGGGTTCTGACATGGACCAGAATACAGAGTTCCCACTGAGTTAGGAGAAGGATCAAGCACAAGCCTCAGGATGGAGGTAGTGAATGCCAATCCCCAAATCCCACTTTGCTCAGGGTTGTGATGGATTTAACCTTCTTTTAAGATTTATTTATTTATTATGAGAATAAACATGTGAGAGAGGGAGAGACATAGGCGGAGGGGGAAGCAGGATACTTGCGGGGAACCCAATGTGGAACTCAATCCAGGACCCCAGGATCACACCCTGAGCTGAAGGCAGACGCTCAACCACTGAACCACCAGGCATCCCTGATTAGATTTAACTTCAACTAGACCTTAACTAACCTTCACTAGAACCTCTGCTCAAACAAATTGGAGTGCCTACTGGTGGGAAAGAAGACAGAAATAGGGAAGTTTTAATTTTGTGATCTAAGTTCCTGGCACAGCGAACCCTAAATAAATGTTGAATAACTGGATAAACCAGTGACTACTAGATTTAAACTATCCATGCAATACCTTCCTTTCCCAGCCCCACCACCCCTCAGCTATTGAGACAGACGACGGGATTCTCCTTTTTTTTTTTTTAAACTTGATATAGAAAATATGCCATTCATAAGGCATTCATACCCTTTAAAAATCCTTTCCCCTTTGGCCTAGAAAGCTTTCATCTGACCTGCATTTTCCTGGCAGACATTTTGAACATAGGCTCTGGTGGCTCCTTGCTCTCTCCAGCTCACTCTGCAGGCTGAGGGCTACAAGGGGAGCCCTCATCAAGCGGGGCTCATCAAGCGGGGCTGATCATTCCTGGGAGTCATCAGTCACAAGGCTGTGTAGCCCCACTAATCCCTAAGCCCAGTGGCAGAGCTCAGAAAGGCCCCAGAAGTAGGCGACTGCCAACACGGTCCCGACATTTCTGTCACTTTGATTTTATAACACTCTGCTCCCTTCTTGCCTAAAATAATTAAAATGAATTCCTTATTTGGGAGACATCCATCTGACAATCAGAAACAATTCCAAATGTCAAACTCTGGACAGATAGGCAAGAGTCTGTTTGTTGGCCTCATAATGGAGAAAAGAGTGGCACTTCTTCCCCACCCAATGCACACACCAGATCTCTGTGGAAAGCCCCTCTCTGAAGGCAGCCCTGGCCCCTCACCTCCCTTCAGGCTTTTCTGAAGATATCAGGACAGCCCAGGAAGCAGCTCTGACTCTAACCTTCAGTGTCTGAATCCTTGTGAGGCTGTGAGTCACTTGGGGTTAGCCTAAACCTCCAACTCCACCTCTCATCACCCCACACCCACAAGTGTCTCTTTTTCTCTCTCTACCCAGAGGAAATCAGCAATTTCTTTCCCTTTCTCCAGGGGAATTCCTTCAGATTTTTGTCTTTTCCCCTTCACTCCCTCAGGGAGTTGCTGATCTGAAAGTTTACTTTCCTCAGCAGTCCAGTCCTGACTGGCCCTTTCTGGTAAAAATGTCAGCCATTTGCTCTTTCCCTTGGGCTCCTGAGATATTCTGATACCGTGTTGTCTCCTCTCTTGCATACGGGACATTCCCAAAGTGAACACACTTGGCTAAGAGAAGGTGGGCCCTTAGCCTGATCCTTGGCTTCTGAGCGGCTGTGAGGCCTGAGGAGACGAGTGCCTGTTTCTCTTTCTTCCTGACTTCATAGCTTTACTATTTAACAGTCACTTTACCTGAGCCACCATATGTCTCTTTAAAAAAAATTATTTTTTTAAGTAGGCTCTATACCCAGTGTGGAGCCCAATAAGGAGCTTGAACTCATGACTCTGAGATCAAGGCCTGAGCTGAGACCAACATATGTCTTGAATTCTACTTTTGGCCTAACACCCTGCAAGTGTCTGACTCCCATTAATTACATCTGAGGAAATTAAACCTTACAATAAAAATTTCCAGTCGGTATATCAATGATAAGCGGCTAGGCTAAAATCTTTCAAAGCATTTTGATGAGCATATTTGAAATCCCTTTGGAGAGACTCTCAGCGTCTCATACTGAAGCCTTACCTGACTGGGGAAGGGCATCAATGAAGGCAAAAAAATGCTTCTCTAAATCTTCCAAGTTGGAGAATGGACGCTGGGACCAAACAGCAGCCGCAATCAGAGGACATCTCTCAATGACGTTCCCAAACACATCCACAAATTCTCCAAAGTCCATGGAGTTGACCTTCTCAATGTCCATTGCTTGCATTCACCCGGAGGCAGCGGAATGTCAGCTCCCCTCTCGAAAGTGAGCGATGCTGACTCTACTCACCAGCTTATATTTGCTGAAGGCACAATCTGTTTTCTTTTTTTTATGCAACATCAGCTTGGCATGTTTTGAATGCCTCTGACAGAAGTAGATCCACAATACTTGTGTAATGAGCAAACACAGGCTGAAAGTGCTAATCCAGGGAGTGGAGAAGTCTACATGGGAAATGTTTCCCAACAAACTGTTCCTGCAAAATCGGGACGGACCCTATTTCTCTGTGGGCATTGAAGCCAGAGAGACTTCTGGTGTCATTAACATTTTATGTCAGTGGTATCCCAGGAAGTTTTCTCTGGTAGCTCCAAGACAGGTCACAAGTCCACCCACATGGAATTTGATTTCTCATCTCCTGTTGCTGGAGAGGTGGTCAGGTGGTGTGTTTTGCCCTTTCTCTGTATTGCAGATGCTTAACACAATAGGTACTTCATAAATGCTCATTACACAGGATATGGTGTCTAAGAAATAATTCTACCCAGTTCTCAGTTGTCTCCCAAATACCATTATGTGTAGCTTTCTTCCTGAATCTATATACACCTATCTGAAGTCACCTTGCTTATTATATTTACTTCTTTGCATATCATTTATCAGCCCTAATTCCATGAGCCTGGAGACCTGTGTCTTGTTTGCTTCTGCGTCCTGGGTGTCTAGAACCGTGCCCACGGTAGGCACCCAATAAACACCATGCGGTGAATTAGCTGACCGAATGACCACATAGATTAAATCTATCACCCTAATACCTTTCATGTACACTCAAAACAAAAAATATTGTGGAAGATAAAGTCAAAGAAAAGGAGAGGCTAAAATTTTAAAATAAAGAAATCACTGCTGTTTCCCTTTAGAAAACAAATGCAAACTTATTTCTAAACGCCACACTAGCTACATGTTTGCCTCCATCTGAGTCAAAACTCAAAGGTAGCACAACCACATTAGCGTTAGTAAGTCAGTTACATTTGCCACTGTGGTTTATGAGAGGCGGGTGACAGCAATGCCTTTGACAATCTATCAGCAAGCACAGATTTTGTCCTACCTCTGTTTGTAGACATTTGCCAGTCAAGGTCCCTTATGACTACCTGGCCCAAAAGGTCATGGTTGACAGAGTGGCCAAGACTTCATCTCTCGAAAAGAAGCTGATAAAATTTGCTTTTCAAGGAAGTCAATCCAATGCCAGAAGTACCACCGTTACTGGATTGTCTTTGCATATGAAGGAAAATATGTAAGATTAACACGTATATATCATGTACCTATGTACATGTGAAAACACATTGAATTTTGTAGTGTGTACACAGTTTGGGACAGTAGAACACAGTGTGGAGAGCACGAACCCTGGTTAGTTCTGATCCTGGCTCTGCCACTATGATCCAACACTTGAAGAAGTATTGAACTTTCTGTTCTTCAGTTTCTTTGTCTCTAAAATGAGGATAATAATGTATTTACCTTGTGGGATTTTGTGAAAGATTAGTAACTCTACAGACATACCTAAAATAGCTCCTTTACAGAGCACTACAGAGGTGTGGGCTAATATTTTCTGTGTCACTCTCAGAACCACAGAACTTTCTCCTTTTTCCTTTCTGCCATTGGAGTCTATTCTTGCCCATGCAGGCTTTACCGGGGATGCAGTTAACAGCCCAATATCCATTTCTTCCCTTCCTCCTAGAGGGCCCCACCACCCTGAGCCTTGACTCACTCTAGTGTGACCTGTGCAGTATCTGCAACGTCCAAATAAGACTGTGGGTAGACAAGCCTGAGGGAGAGTCTGGCTGGATCCCCACCACTGGTCTGTCCAGGTTCCCCAGGCTTATTACCACCCTCTTCCCCAGACTCTGGGAAAAGAAAGTAGAACAGGAGCCAAGAGGAAGATCGTCCTGGGTCCATGGTTCTATGTCCCTCACCTCTATAGCATGAGCCCTTACTATTTCCTGCTTTTATCTGTCTCTGCACACTGAGGGTCTCCTACCCCCCACAAAGGAGCTCCTGCCTGGGGCTTGGAGCCTGGAGGTTCTCCATTCCTCTGAGAGCAGCAGGAGATAGACATCTGAATTTCTAAGTAGAGACTCCTTCCGCTCATGGCAATGCTGATACACAAGGGTAGGAAGGACCTCCCTAATGATATTACTACCTTTTTGGCACAGATCAGAGATAGACTCTTTTCTTTTACTATATCTAATGTGTAATAATGGAACTACAAATAACTTACTAACATATGAACCTTCAAGGCACAAAAAAATTGGGGCACCTGGGTGGCTCAGTGGTTGAGCATCTGCCTTTGGCTCAAGTCATGATCCCGGAGTCCTGGGATCAAGTCCCACACTCCCCCTGCAGGGAGCTTGCTTCTCCCTCTGCCTATGTCTCTGCCTCTCATTCTGTATCTCTCATGAATAAATAAATTTTAAAATCTTAAAAAAAAGACACACAAAAATTAAGGAATCATATAGTTGCAGACCCAGAAAAAATATTGATAACAACAACAAAATACAAATTACTAATGTGGAACTCAGCAGCTCATGCCACTAGGCTTAGCTCAGCACTCTGGGCTTCATGTCTGTTGACTCTCACCAATCAAATTAATCGAAGAAATGACAGATGGTCAGAAGGTAAGGTAATTGTCAGCCAAGCAAAAAACTAATTTATTGAATAGTACACCACATAGAGGAGGGTTGCGGGATACACAAATTATGTATCAATAAAGCATTTTTAAAAAGTGAAATGATATAAAGATGTAGCCTCATGATTTGTATGACCATACCAGATAGAATTCTTATGTTCTGGTTGCTGAATATATTATATTTTATTTTCTTATAATTTTTCTCTTAAGAGACTTTTAGCTGAACACGGGGAATTTTTTTCTTTATGTAGGTAGGCTCCATGCCCAGCGTGGAGCCCAACATGGGGCTTGAACTCACAACCCTGAGATCAAGATCTGGATGCTTAACCAACTGAGCCACCTAGGTGCCCCAACATAAAGAAAATTCTTCAATTGGCACACATTTTTGTTTCTTTCTTTCTTTCTTTTTTTAGTTGAAATATTGACACATCTGCTTTTTTCAAGTAGGAGCCCTTAACATGTCATGAATGGAATTTTACGGGAGTGTTTTCCTAATAAGATAAACAGATTGTTTTCCTTCATATACATTTTTAATATGAGGCTGATTGGGAGTCGGAACTCATATAATCTTGCCGTTACCAGACTACTTTCATTAGCTGAGGACTGAGCAAGAAGCACTGACAGGAGCCCAGACCTTGGGTGTGGCTGTGAGGAGGCCAAGGGTGTGGTTCCAGGCCAGGGCCACACTTAGGACCTGTTTAGTGTGTCTAGGTAAGTGACTTCACCTTCCTAAACCTTGGTTTCATCGCCTGGTCAGACTGCCCAGAACAACCTCCAACTTCACAATGTATTCAATGGGACGATACATGTGAAGCCATTAGCACAGTCTGCAATGCAGTATATTATCAATAAATGTCACCATACAGACTTTATCAAAGGTTTGTTTTATAGGCTAGTTACAAAATGACCAATACTGGATGATTTTACCCATATGAGTTACCTAGAATAGTCAGATTCATAGAAACTGAAAGTAGAATGGTGGTTGTCAGCGGCGGAGGCAGAGGGAGCAGAGTGAATGTTTTGTTTTGTTTAAAGATTTTATTTATTTATTCATGAGAGATACACACAGAGACACAGAGACATAGGCAGAGGGAGAAGCAGGCTTCCTGTGCGGATCCCAGGATCACGACCTGAGCCAAAGGCAGACGCTCAACCACTGAGCCTCCCAGACCACCTGAGAGTGAGTCTTTAATAGGACAGAGTTTCAGTTTACAAAGGTGAAAAATTTCATCTGGAGATGGATGGTGGTGATGGTTGCACAACACTGTGAGTGTATTCAATGCCATTGAGCTGTGCACTTAAAAATGGTTAAAATGGCAAATTGTACCCGCACATATGTTATATACATTTTACCACAAAAAAATTCATCAAGCCTATTATGCCCCAGTAAGATAATTTGGAATTTAATACATGTTAGTCTCCTAGGAGCTATAAAGATGTGTTTTTAGGTGATAACTACCCCCCCCTTCTTTCTGCCACCAAGGGTCTGGTGGCATAGCAGAAGCAAGTGTGAACACTGATCCATCATTTGTTTTTGACAAAAACGATAGTGGGAGTGGCAGCAGAGTTCAGATACGTGTGTTACTGGGAAAGTCATTCATGAAGAGCTGAGGGGAGAGAAGGAAGATGAGGAAGAAACACAAGTGGTAGAGGGGGTAAAGGAGACACAAGACAGATAATCACAGGCCTGGAACTCTGATAAGAGGTCACCCAGGATATCTTCCTGCTGCAGGCCAAACACCCCTAGCTGCTTTCCTTACTCCAAAAGATCTCTGGGAAACAGACACTTTGTTTTCTTTTCTTAAAGATTTTATTTATTTATTCTAGAGAGGGCATGAGTGGTGGGGGGTGGTGGTAGAGGGAAAGGGAGAAGGAGAAACAGACTTCCCACTGAGCAGGGAGTGGGGGGGGGCAGGGGGACTCCATCCTGGGACACCCCTATCATGACTGAACCACAGGTAGATGCTTAACTGAGCCACCCAGGTGCCCCTGCTCATTGTTTTCAACAGGAATCCAGTCCAGGCTCATGCAACACTAAGCACAGAAGGTGCTCCCAGAAGAATAAATTCAAAAGTCAATCCCCTATGCAGATAAATGTGCTGAGTAGAATCAAATGGTAAAAACCAGGTTCTAAGAAGAAGAGGGCATAGACTGCTCTGTCAATGGTGGGAACGTGATAAATAATGTGCATAAAATGCACAATCTTTATCACAGTCAAGAAATAACTGAATACTAAATAAATAAATGTGAGTGATCTGTGTAGAGGGTTATTCTTGCTTCTGATCAATAGATTGGCCTTTTCTGGGACGCCTGGGTGGCTCAGCAGTTGACTGCCTGCCTTTGGCCCAGGGTGTGATCCTGGAGTCCTAGGATCAAGTCCCACATGGGGCTCCCCGCAGGGAGCCTGCT